CACTGTCGGTCCACGTGGGATTGACCAGAGGGTCAAAGCTGCTAGTGCCTGACACTGTCGGTATAGATGGTATGAAGGCACCCTGCGACGTTAGACTGGGCATCGTCATCATCCTGGTGTTATTCATTGGTATGTTTGACATCAAAATCGGGTTCCATGCGACCTGTGTTTCAAGGTTGTCGAAGCCAGTGCCCCTCCTCAAGGTTGCCTGGGCGTTAGGCTGTCCAGCGAGTCTTGCGAGGCTTGGATCGAGCGGTGTCATATTCTCGTCTTGTAAATCAATAAGGATCGTGCGGAACAGATGATCCTTGCCATTCATAGCGACATCGAAGCTGTGTTCTGGTCTTGTTATCCCGTCACTTCAGGTTGGCCAGACGTGAGCACTGCGAACCTTAAGACAGAGGCTTCCACCAGACTACCCACCCGGAACGCAGGAAGTCTCTTGGCATCCGAGAACACGAGCAGCGCTGTCGCTACAAGGCTCGCTGCTCGGGCGCTGTCGTCCGATCCGAGGACTTCGGAAGCCTATTCGCTGCGGCAGTATCTTGTTCAACAGAAGGCTGGGTGCTCAGTGAGGACCCGGATATGGATGGGGATCTACTTTTCCACGGTCTCGTTGAGCCTCGCTAGTTGCTCCTCTCATTCGTGAACCTTTGATCAAAGCAGCACGTTCGTCAATAGCTCGGGCCGATCACAATGGGAAGGAGTATTCTGAGTATCTTCGTGACGTGGAGGAGTGAATCAGACCTCAGACACTGAGCCTATAAGGTCCGGCTAGATTGTGTTCAGTGGAAACTCCGCTGTATTTTAAGACACCGAATCATATAATGGAAATAGCTCCATTGACCTCGGGATGGGTCCCGGTAACCGTCTGTCACAGGTTGCAAGGAAGTGTACGAGATTATTTCCCCCAAGGCTTGCTAAGACACTTTCAGATAACTCGACGGACAGATAACCGAAGTGGATAGTGAAGGGGTCGGCCTGGTCGGCAGCGAAATATGCGGGTAAAGCGATATTTATGGGGATAAATGTGGGTAGAACCGGCCGAGAGATCTGCTCCGTACACTACTTGAGTTGCCAAGAACTTGGAAGCCTTCAATCAACGGAACAGCGTCTTGCTGTCTGACCCTCTGCTGGGTCCATGCTCTGGGGCGGGTCCATTGAACTTCCATTTCGTCTTCCAGAACTCTCGTGGGGATTCTCCTTCCACTTGATTTAATGTTCTCGATATAACATCTCGCAGTGTATCCCCTGCCAACTCTTCACATACCAAAGAATGAGCGACAAGTTCCGTCAGTCTGCGCTGTGCGATAACCATTGTATACGGCTCTCTATGAAAAGAAACAAGAACAATCCATTTGCAGGGGTACACTGCTTGGGTGAACAAGCTTGCGCTAGGAAATGTTCAGTGCACACATAGTAGTCAGTGGAGCTCGAAATGTCCTCCCCAGCTTCCAAGCATCTCCAGATCGCGATCCTCGTCGATTAAGCCGATGGTAACTTGGCTATACATATTACGCGTATCGGGAAACCAATGAGGACACAAGCGAGAAGGGTCCAAATAATCTTCCGCACGGATACTCTACAATCTCCAGCATATCTACCGGTACTGCTATGTACACGTGTACCCGTACGCGCTTACATACGCTAGACCATGCGGCTGGACAAGCCGTACAGCGTGGTTTCCAAGGTTCGCGACTCGGCCATCGCCTTTTCGTCCGCGCCTACAAGGGATCGTCGTTGAGGAAGCTAACTACTGACTCGAGGCTCGAGTGTCTGATCGACTTCATTGACCAGATGTCTGTAGTTCCCGGGGTGCCGGCTAAGCGCCTATGTTGCTTGGTTCAGACACTGGCCTGGTATACCCGAGCTATACCCGAACTATATCCTGCTCCTTTGGTCTCATCGCCACTGAGGCACTGCGAGCCTCCAACACGATACGACGAAGTGTTGCAAGATATGACCAAAAGCAGGATGCTTATATAAGACCAGAGGTCAGGTTCGGTGGGGGAAAAAAGTACTAGTAGTGGCTCCTCCCGCGATACTTGGCTTATCCTATCCTTCAGTGCTTACGCCAAGCTGCGCCATACCCCGCTACACTGACAGCTGTCACTCAAATGGTGCGGTATACACAAGACTACAGGCTGATATCGTCCAGCCTGCCCCAGGGTGCCATCCCTATAGCCTGGGATATGAATCCCTCAAGGCAGATCGCACAAGGCAACAATCAGCGTCAGGAATGCCACGCCTCGTTGACTGGTGTTTAAAATGGCGACGCAGTGGCCTGCAGTAAATCATTTCACAAAGGAGATCTGAATGTAAAGTCCTCCCCATCACAAATCATTAGGCTATTGACCAATTATAAGCCAACTGAGTCAATTTTATCCTCACCAAATAATCATGTCTCGCTGCAACAACGATGCCGGCACCAACTCCACGGTGTTTTTACGCCGCATAACTATTCTCACGTTTCCCCCAGCATTCATCATGCTCATCGTTGCCGGTGTAGAAGGCAACAGGGTCTTTCCCGCTCTTGGGCTGATTCCCCAAGCTGCCTCGGTCATCTTTGGTTACTCGCTTCTATATCGCGACCGCGTCATCGCGTTGGGCTCTCCGATCCGGGCGTTCTCGCCATCCAACATCTTTTGTGTCGATATCGCCCTAGCCATCTGGTACTTGGGTTTCCTCATTCCAACGTGGATAGCCCTACCATGGCAGCGGGACGAGCCCTTGATCATTTTGGCCACTTATTGTTCTGTGTTCATGATGGTGAACTTGTAAGTAAATCAGATTCTCCATGTCCTGATATAGCTCCGATGTTAACGACTAGCCATCTGTAGTGGAATCCATGTCTATTTTGCTGCAGCAGAGGCGTTGCATATTATCACCTCGCGCCAAACTCCGTTCAAGTCCTTAAGTTCGGAATATACCCCTCTCAATGAAGCGTACGAAGATGATTACAGCAATATAGAAGAGGGGCATGCGGTGCTACCCCAGTAAAGGGGGAAGGTATGGGGTCTACCTTTGTTCAAATCCGGATGGCACTGCTGTAAAATACTATCAGGATCTCAAGAAGTTGGACGATTCAACGGGAGAATTCAGGGCTGCTCTGTATATTATAGTATTCCAATCAAGTTACAATCATTTTTGTTTTCTTCGGCTGATCAAGAGATATACCTTGCCCTACTATCAGTTGTGGTCTTACTTCTGATCAAACCTGTAAATACCTAGGTATATCCATTAGCGGTCATTACAGCAGATGCTTTGTAGCATACGTGGTATCCATATCCGACAAAAGTCAGAACTTCCTTCTTCGCCTAAGGTGAAGATAATATGTTGATAGCCCTTACCCTGTACGATTTGACTTATGGTCATTCCTTCAACCTGGTATGACTGACCATTGACTCCGTTACAGCAGGTGGCATGAATAGACGTATTGAGAAGGATTGTCCAACATCGATCTGCCCTGGTCTATCTAGCTCCGGCCACTTGTGTAGCTGCCAGGCCCTAGAGGTAAGACGAACGGATATCTGAAAGCACGGTCTGACCAATCTCCACCTTCCTTTCAGAGACCACTCCATGTCAGCTTGATGTACTATTGGCTACTAGCAGAGGGGATTTTGGGAACGAGACCCGTATTATATAAACTGGAATTGCCCTGTTGATTGCCCTCGTCATTGGACAATCAGGCGAGTATCCGGGCCTCCCCAGATCGTTAGTATCTTCCAAGATCTTCTTCAGGTCAGGTGACGGCCCAGGCACTTACGCCATATATCCATCATAAGAGTCGACGTTGATGAAGCTTAGTAGCTAGCAGGCGGCGACTCCAATCCTTGTGCTCTTGGGAGTGTCAGCCCAAGTCATCGTCGTCGCCATGGGGACCTCGGGTAACCCTGCACTGCCTATTGAACATCATATGAGTGGGCGAGTTCAGTAAATCGTCACAGGCCGTCCTCGAGCTCGGCCTCTCCTCGGAACTGCCAGTCCTCGTCAGAGCTGCCGTGCCAGCACACCGAGTTCAGGACAGCGATTTGGTACCTAAACGGATACCAACGGTTCGCCATTGTTTGCAGTATTCCACATCGATCACAAGACCAGTTCTCAACGCAAGCATGCGGTTGTATCTTGTGTAATCAGTCTTTGCTAGATTCCGCGAATATGTCAAACGAAACATTAGATGCAGCCGACATGATTCAGTTCACCGTGCATTTCATTCCAACCGACATATGATGTATGGAACAAGGCCATGAATGAGCAACACGCCTCAAACACTGGAGCATAAGACATTGGGCTACCATTGGCAATACAGACATCGGGCAGACATGGCCGACCAATTGCTGCTAGTCCGGGTAATATAAGCTAACGGCGGGAAATACCGGTACAGGTCTTGGGTGGTGTCTCCAAGACTTGTTCAATTGTCTAGTTACACAACGAACACCGACCAGGATTTTGCAAGCACCTCGGAAGATCGGAAATGCACGGCGCTTTTATATAACTGCACGAACGCAGGCCCCAAGCAGCAAAGACAACGAGAGTAGCTGGCTGCCAGCGGAAACAGCATGCGCAGAAAGTTATTCAGAACTGCTGTACATACAAAAACCAGACGGAACATGTCGGAGACACTTCTAGTTCAACGTCATACAACCACAATCGCCACAGAGAGTTGATCTACAATTACAGTGTGTAGTAGCTGGATTGCTTGAGACTTCGGTCGTCGGCCTCAAATCACTGGCCACGACACTACCTAGGTATGAGGTATACTCTGGCTCCTGCCACTAACTTCGGGTATTCGCACAAGCTAGACGAGTGTTACTTGTTATTGCGAGTTGATAGACAGACACGTCTCGCCCGGAAACGAGTCTAGACCCCTGATGTGGATCCCAGATCTCCGTGGGGTCCACCGGGTTGAGATGTCTGGACTCAATGCTCCCCAGATCCAGCCCACGCAAAGTCCCACAACAATATAGTATGCTAGGTTCTTTGCAATTTCAACAATCACTGGCGCCGTGGCAGAGTGGTCTAATGCGATAGACTAGAAATTCAATTCGAATTCCTAGCTCATCTATTCTCTTCGGAGGCGCATGTTCGAATCATGCCGGCGTCGATCCTTTTTGCTATTGTTTTTGGCATTTCCTGAAGTCAGGAAACACTCTATATTACTCCACCCTAGTCTCCCACACAAAATTGCTGTGGTGGTAAGGCTACTTTTGCTACTTGATCGAGTTCAAGTCCAATCTGAGGCGCATTTTCGAGTTTCATACCGGTGTTGTTATTGTTGATGGTGCGTCCTTCCTCTTGTTGGTTTGACGCACCGAAAAAGTTATTTTATCAAGATGCATATAAGACCTTTCAAGATTTTGCGTTGTTGTCAGCCGCCGCATTGCTCCAACCGGTGTGTGTTGATCAATATGTAACGTCTTAGTTTCAGTAAAAAGTCGTTGTAGACATCTCAAGTGCGAATCAAATTTCACGCAAATACTTGGTGCGATCATACGTCAATTCAACCGAGTAATACTTGAGGCATCAATCAATGTATGCCTTTTGGACGTTTCTCGTTCGATCATTGAATACACTTCTTCCTATTCATGTCAATGTTAGTATGGGAGGATGAAAAGACAGGGGGTGGCGTTTCTTACCTAGGTACTGCGGACTATATCTCGCGCAAATCGTGCATAAGCCAAGCTGACAGCCCTATGAATATACTCCATGCCTCCTCAAGAGCCTGTTGGACCCAGGCCTACATCGTCATCCTGCCTTTCTGCTCCGCTACCTGCCGTGCTGCCGAGATCGTCGTTGAGGTACATATGTAAGTGGCTACCTCGAATCTCGAAACTTGACTGTGTCTCGGGAACTTCGGGGCTCCTTCTCCTGCGTACATAGAATTCCATTCCAAGAAATGGTGCTTGATGCATAGTCATAGCTCTCTCTTCCGGGCTCCATGCTGAGGGAATTCGAACATCCGACAACCCACTGCGAGCTGACTTGGACTAGATTCCTTCGCCCCTCCCCACGAAAAGCCCCCAAGTCTACTGGAATTGCGAGTAACTCCGTGTTGTCCCGTAAGAGACGAGAGTGTGAGGCCACCGCAGAATAGATACCTAGCTGTAACAAATCCCATAGACCACCAAACAAAGAAAGGAACAAGAGGAAGTGCCGAGCTTCGAAGCAAGGAAGCCGTTGCAACTAGTTGACAATGGCCGCGGATCACTCCGTAGGAAGAGACGTCCCGAAACACACTACCACTTCCAAGACTTGCTTCTCCACGAAAACAATAGGGCTGATCGTATAGAAGGTTTAGCAGTGCTGTATAGGAGTCCCTATCCCAGCCTGCCTGACAACTCTACACAGTGTCCAAGACTCAACCCCATATTCGGATGCCCGGATACAAAGTCGCGATCACTTGAATTCCAGCCAGCCACGCCTGATTGGCAATATCCGGGCTGGCCGGGAGGACCAAAGACCCGTCGGCTCCAGGTATGGAACTCAATATCAGGAGGTGCTGTTGTCCCGATGGTAACTTAGCCGGGATCAACTCAATGTCTTTGGAAAAGAGCATGTGATTCGGAGCATATCGAGATGAGAAAGCATCACCGCTTATCAAGAAATTGCCCAGTGAAAAGGCAGCTGGAAGTTAATGGCCATGGTGATAATATTAGTGGACATGCCCGTGGACGCAGGTGGTGGAAGCGCATTCGACTCTCCCGGCCGGGCCGGTTCGATCACCTCTGTCTGATGGCCCGTACAGCCGCGTTGCACGCCCCGACAACCCATAATCCCAAGGAATGGATCCGAAGGTGGTCTCATCATCCCAATCGAACCATTAGACTCGACCATTCGAACGAATCCGGTCGCACTTGATGTCACAGACAGGTTACATGAAGCAGCGAGAATACCAGCATTGATGACTTTAACGTCAGATATCATTCATTATGTAGTAGGGGTATCTGAGCATTGCCTAGCAGGCAGTGTGGGTAACAAATCTTGGTACAGTACCATTACAAATCGTAGCGTCTCTCTCTTCTCTTCCCAACTATATATACAAGGCAACCCCCATCATGAAGTTTTCCGTACGGCCTTCTGACCTGTTATCGTTTGAATTCGTGAATTATGCGTGTTCCCGGGACTCGTGAGGTGATTCGAGGGCAAGTGATCCATCTTCGAGTGAGGATGTTCCAGCTCTTGGGTCATCTTGGAGGCCAAGCAACCACATATTGGTTTCTTTGTTTATTCTTCTTTCATTTATCCATGCAAAGACAAGATGCTCTTTCTTTATACGTTGTTGTCATGGTGACCAGCAGCGGGCACCTCGGTCTTGGCGAAGTCGCGGGCACCGGGGGCCAGGTGGAGGTTGTCGGTGTGGACGGGCTCGTCCAGTGGCTGCCAGCTGGCTGACTTCCAAGGGACGACGCCGAGGACGTACATGGAGTCGACCTCCTCGAGGGAGCGCTTCTGGGACTCGTTGACGAAGAAGAAGGTGATGATGACACCGAGGAAACAGCAGCCGGCAAAGACGTATCCGTAACGGTAGCCAATGGCGTCGGTGATCCAGGGGGTGAAGAAGGAGATGAGGAAGTTCCACAGCCAGTTGGCGGCGGTGCAGAGACCCATGGCCATGGCACGGTAGCGCGAGGGGAACATCTCTCCGACGATGGCCCAGACAAGGGGACCCCACTGTGTTGCATGTGTTAGTGGATCTGGATCTGGACAAGATCGTGGGGGGTGGGTATGCGGGTGAGGCAAAACTTACAGTGACAGCGAAACCGACGATGAAGAAGCAGGCGGAGGCGATCATGGCAGATCCGACAGAGGAGTTGGTGCGGGCGTTGGGGTCGCTGGAGTTGTTGTCGGGGTACAGAGCGAAGGAACCCAGGGAGGCGAAGATGATGAGCCACATGAACATCCAGATACCACCGATGATCATGGAGATACGGCGACCGAACCTTTGTCCGACGTAGAGACCACCGAAGGTAGCGACGACGTTGACGGCACCGAGAATGATGGAGGTGACGAAGGAGTTAGAGATACCGACAGACTGGAAGATCTCTGTTCCGTAGTAGAAGAAGAAATTGGCACCGGTGAGCTGCTGGAGGGCCTGCAGGGCCATTCCGATGAGGACACGGCGGAACATAGCCGGAGCAGTGAAGATTTCGTACCACTTCTGGTCGCCGCCGGCGGCCTCGGCCTCGAACTTCTCACGAATCTCTTGGAGCTCGCGCTGCACCTCGGGGTGGTCCTCGGAGACACCGGCAACCAGAGCAAGGGTCTCGGCAGCCGGGATCTCTCCGCCGTGACGGTATTGCCAGCGAGGAGACTCGCGCATGAAGAGCATACCGGTGGCCATGATGGCCGGGGCAACGAAACCGATACCCATGGTAATGCGCCATGAAGCAGTGGAGTTGATGGTGGAGGTACCGCAGTTGACAGCGTAGGCGACTAAGATACCGAGGGTGATGAACAGCTGGTAGGCGGAAACGAGGGCACCACGGACAAGGCGGGGCGCGGTCTCGGATTGGTACATGGGGGTCAGGACGGAGAGGGCACCGACACCGAAACCGTCAACGAGACGACCAATGACAATCTGGTACCACTTCCACTGTGTAGTGATGCAGATGATGTTGCCGACAATGTAGATAAGGTTCCAGAAGCTGATCGTGTACTTGCGGCCGAAACGGTCGGACAGGGGTCCAGAAATAAGGGAACCGACCAAGCAGCCAGCGCAAAGCATACCAGTCATCAGACCCTGTCGAATGTTGCCAAGACTCTTTTCGCCGTTTTCTATCTTGTCGCCGAATCGGTCCTTGAAGTTGTTCATTTGTGTGTAGCCGGAGATGGCACCACCTTCCCAACCGAAGATGAAACCACCGAGGGAGACGAGAAGGCCCATGATGATGACCCGGAAGTTCATGACCTTGGGCTTAGGCCAGTCGCCATCAGCGTAAGGGGCATCTTTTTCATTGTGGCCGTGCGGTGGCGTTGATGTGCCACTGGCCGGTGCTTCTGCCGAAGACATGTTTGTATTTGTTCTGTCGTGCGGAACACGTTGGTGTGAGTAGATCACAAAATATGTGTTTGTTGTGTTTCCTGGAAAGGAAGGGGAGGTAGTCTTATATGTTTGATGAGGATGAGCCTGTTCAAGCAAGAAATCCAAACACCAGACGACACAGGACAGAAGGCTTTTATGGTCTGGGGAAACGTTCCACATTGGCTTCTGTGGATACCACCATGAGGGTGACTCCAGACCTCCGTATTGTAACCTTCTCCATGTACCCCGTGAGACCCCATGGCAAGTATGGAGACACCTGGGATGCGCTTGGGGAGCGTGACCAGGCCAGGTATCTGGTATGGGGTGACGATCATTGCATTGCAATGTCATCACAAAAAATATCGCCAGGGTCCCGCCGGACTTCTCCTGAAGGCGACAATACTTCGTCCAGGTACCATGGGGCGCGGGGTGGGCAAACTAACGGGCCTGGAATGATCGCTCACGGTCTCCGCGATGAACAATGTGGGGAGGGACGCAAGAATTGCGGACCTGGAACTGGATCTCTCTCACAAACCGTAGTAGCTCCGCGCCGAGAGAATGGCCGAATGGCAAGAGTGCTATGAACCCGGGGGGCGGTCGGACGATCGACCCATGAGCGTGCCGCTGGCCGCCGGCGACCAGGGCGAGGACGGCAGACCCGAACACACCAGGGATGCATCAACAGGTGATGTGCATTGCAGCATGGCCAAAGGCTGCGGCATGCGCGCAGGCGCGGCCCAGGTCCCTCCCCCCCGGAGTATGGCTTGGAGCCGACGCCGCGATACCGTGATGCGCACCAATGTCAGTCCGTCGAGTTCAGATCAGCCTCATGTAGACCCCATACTTCAGGTACGGGGCGGACTAGAGCCCATGGACGGTACACTACTGTATTTTCTGTACTAGGGACTGCCGAGGAGCTACTAGTCCTGCTAGTATCGAATCTCAGCAACAACCAAACGCTCGGACAGAATGCCTCTGAGGACTTTTGACGTAATTACATCTACTGCCTGCGCGATATATCGTTGTACCTGACAAAGGCTTCCAAGGTTCGCTGTAGATTGCGAAAGGCCGAGGTTCAAGAC